TAAAAGACATACTAAGCTTGTTTGGTCATATATCACATATAGTGAATTGCACCGGTGGTCCCTGTGGTTTGCTCGAATACTGGATTTGGTCCCTAAAACAAACTATCTACACTGGTGTTCTCTAACTTTTCATTTTCATAACACCCATGGTCCCTCTATTTAACGACGTTAGTTAATGACCGTTATGAAAGACTAATCGGTCTTTGAACAAACTATGGGGACTAGAAGTCTAATATGCTCTAAAACTTAATGTGATTCATGGTTTTTTTTATTTTTATTAGAAAATATTTTATATATCCATTACAAATCAAATGTCTTAAAATAACATATATATTAAATAAAAATATTTATCTTTATTTGTTGTAGTGATGTTTTTTCTTTAACTGTTTGAATAATCAATGTTTTTTTAATCTTAATTTTTATTTTGTTGTTATTTTAATTATTTATAGTTTGATCACATATCAATAATCTCACATTAACCGAACTTAATTTTCAATATTTTGCTCGCATTTTTCAATTCTCAACCCACAAGATATGTGACTTTATCTTGATTTACTTTTTTTTTATACTTGAGATTTTTAAACGTTAATTTTTTGTGAATTTAATATTTAAATAAATATAAATATATTTATTAATATCTACTTTATTTTAAGAAATTTGATTTATGATTTTAATATAAAAAAACGTGTATCACATTAAATATTAGAGTAGATTATACTTTTGGTCTTATAAGTTGTTCAAGGACCGATTACTCGATTAGTCCTTCATAAAGGTGCTAACTAACATCGTTAAATGGAGAGACCATGTGTGTTATGAAAGTGAAAGGTTAAAATAATCTATTTAAAATTAAAATAAATTTTTGACTGATTTCTAGCGGATGTATCTGCCGGTAATATTTACAGAAATAAATATTTTTTAAAAAAATTAATTCTTTCCGACGGATATATCCGTCCGTAATTTAATAAATATTTTTAAATAAACTTAAATATTTTCTTAATTTAATGAATATTTTTTTATATAAACCGGTGGAAATTTTTGTTTAAAAAAACTTAAATATTTTCTTAATTTAATGAATATTTTTTAAATAAATGGGTGAAAATTTTTCGGCGGCCGGAATCCGTCGGAAAATGAAAAATCCGGCAGTAAATCCGCCGGGAAATTAATCACCGACACCAACATTTCCGGCGGCTATATCCGCTAGAAATAAAGATTTCTGTCGGATATAACCGTCGGAAATGTTGCCTTGTTTGGTAGTGTTATGGACCACCAGTGTAGATAATTTATTTTAAGGATCAAATCCAAAATTTGAAGAAACTACTACATATGTACCACCAGTATAATTCAATATAAGGCAACATAAAACTTGTTAAGATACTAATCTATATATATCTATAAAGCAGAAACATACAATGTTGACGTGGCATCTTCTTGTACTAGTATTCATGTCTTCCTTTTTTCTCCATTTTTTCCTTTTATTTTAGGTTTTATATTTAATCTAAGACTTTTACTCTTCATCTTCTACCGTTACAATTCATTATCTTCTACGTCTTTCTATCATAAACTTATTTACTCTTCGTCTTCTACCGTTACAATTCATTATTTTCTACGTTTTTCTATCATATACTTTTTTACTCTTCATCTTCTACCGTTACAATTCTTTATCTTCTACATCTTTCTATCACAAACTTCTTTGCTCTTCTTCATCTTGCGATCCCTATAAAAAATTATGGATTGACAATATAGCTGGCGGTACGCCTCTCTCTATCTTTTTATGCATATATAGAAAGACATGAAACAATAATTATGCGTGTTTTACTTTTATTTTCTCGATCTCTCTATCTACTCTGTTGTCTGCGATTAAAAGCAAATTGAAGGAGATTAGAGAAACAATAYAAGGAGGAACAAGAAAAGTCTATGGCAAAATCAGTTGTTGGTGTGTTTTCTTCATATCTGAAGTTCCGAGAAAACTAATTAGATGCTCCAATATCTCCATGAGACTGTTTATACAAAACATGGAAATTGTATGTTTTTATTTTAAATTACTACCTCAATTTTTGTTATTTTCATTTTGAAGATTGCAGATTGTTTCTGTAAACAATTAATTATTTATCTTCTACTGCATTTTTTTAGGATTCGGGATATTCATAGAAGGAAAAAAAATTATATATTTTCAAATTAAAACATAATTTGATAATTTTATACTAACCATGTTCCATGTCACAATTTTATTGGATTTTTCATTATAAAACGTAATATTCGGCTTTACACCTAATAATATACCGAATTGATATATGTTATTTATAAATTATATTTTTATTTTTGACAAGAAATATATTACACCTCTCTTTATTCTTATAATAATAAGACAACCAAAACCAAGAATTTATTTATATATCTATAGAATGTATTATCTGTTATTTCACAATTTAACTTCTTTTACGYTAYATATTCATTTTTCTRCAACCAATATATTTTAACTCTCTTTATTCTAACATAATAAAATATTCAGAAATAAAATTGTACCATAATTATTCTGATATATTTTAACATTTTATATCGAATTCAAACTTATATATTCATTTTTCTACAACCAATGTATTCTAACTCTCTTTATTCTAACAAAATAAAACATTCAGAAATAAAATTGTAACACAATTATTGTGATACCTTTTAACATTTTGTATCAAATTTAAACTTATCGATGCTTTCTTTCATCAATCAACAACGACCGCGTGAAGCGCGGTAAAGTTACCTAGTTACTAGCAAAGACATGATAAAATAAAAAAGAAGCAAAACATTAAAGTACAACATATATCATTACATACCCTCTATTCTAATATTTTTTAAAGTAAGAAAAAAAAGGTAGTTTCTGATTTATTGGAATGTCAAAAAAAACTCAACATGTCATCATGGGTGCTTTGTGTTGTGTCATTTAAATCATTTGAGCGCCTTGAGAATAAAATTATAGACTCAAAAAAGTATTTTTTTAATATATTATTTTTTAAATAATTTTAAATTCTTCAATATTTTCGAGATAAGCTATCATGACAATATAACACACACACATATATATATATATATATATACACGGAATCAAATGAAAACCATATAATTCTTAGAAACCGTGTAAACTAATTTTGACTAATAAGAAAATTTCTTTTTTTAATTAAATTTAATCATTAAGGATAGAATTGTCATTTATATTGTTTTAGATTAATTATGGAAGTTATTAGTAAATCTTAATTAAGGTAACCTAATAAAGAAAATTTTATAAATGATAATATTTAAATATTTATTTAAATTAGTATTTTAAAAAATTAAATGTTGTTATTTGGTTTCTTGGTTTATTAGGGGTAAGAATATTAAAAGACGAAAATTATTATATTAATTAATCCACGAAATCAGTAATAGATCCTAGCAAAGATTCATGAACCGGTAACAATATAATCAGCTGTGAAACAGATTCATGTTAGATTTGTTTAAAAAACGTTCATTGAGGAGCTTGTTTTATGAAATGTATGCAGATTGGTTCGTGAAAACGTTCATTGAGTATCTTGTTTTATGGAACTTTTGGGGATGAACTGGTTACGTAATATAATATTCGTGCATAATCTAGTTTTCTTATCAACAATTATTGATGAAATTGTTTCATTTTGTTAAGAACATGTTGTGTAATAAGCAAACAGTGAAACCATTTCATAACGACAGTGAAACCATCTCATAATTGTTAAGAACATGTTGTGTAATAAGCAAACAGTGAAACTATTTCATAATTAGATTGAAATGGATCCATCTACCGAAAACATGAAAATGACAAATGTCTCATCTAATAGGCAAACAGTGAAACCATTTCATAATAAGGTTGAAACAGATCCATCTTCTGAGAAAATGAAAATGACAGATGACTCCTCTAGTTTATAAGCTAATGATCTAATGGTCTAAAGTTGTACGGTGACAATTTTGTGATTATTGAGAAGTCTCGTGATAATTTTGTGATTATGAATGTTCAGATTGTAGATCTAATCCAAGGGTTAAGATTTTGGTCTTATGAGTCTCACAAAAAATCTTTGGTCTCACATGATCTCAATTCTCTCTCTCTCTCTCTCTCTCTCTTTATATATATATATATATATATATAGGGTTGAGTTCACGTGAGACCAAAGGTTTTTCGTGAGACCCGTAAGACCAATTTATGTTCATTGATCAACTTTATAAGCTAATGATCCAATGGTCTAAAGTTGCAAGGTGACAATTTTGTGATTATTGAGAAGTCTCGTGGTGTTTATGAATGTTCAGATTGTAGATCTAATCCAATGGTTGATAATTGGTCTTACGAGTCTCACGAAAAACCCTTGGTCTCACATGATCCCAAGTTTTTTTCTCTCTCTCTCTCTCTCTATATATATATATATATGTGTGTGTGTATATATATATATATGTATAAGTGAGTTATTATGCAATTCTTTACATTTGTACAACCAATACAATCCAATCTCATCTGTCCATTTAATTTGATGAATTTGCGATTTCATAAAAGTTTTGATTGTTTCATAATATAAAGTATTGATCATAATTAATGAACTCTAGTCATCTTCCATAAATATTCAAATCATAATAAATGAGCACTCATCATTTTTATAAATATCTCAATTGATTGAGTTACATTGGTTGTACAAATGAACATGGTTGCATTTGAAATATACCTTATATATAGGTGAATTATTATGCGACACTTTACATTTGTACAGTCAATACAACTCAATCTCAATCGTCCATTTAATTTGTTGAATATGTGATTTCATAAATTTTTTGATTGTTTCATAACATAAAGTATTAATTATAATTAGAGTTTAATTTTACTTACCATAATGGTTTGACTTTGACTCAGTGTACCTTTGGGCCCACCAGGCTAAGCATTTTATTGGGTACCTTTTGCTTTGAGCCCATTACTAATATAAGCCCATTGCTATGGTATGCTTATGCTATGCCAAAGAAAAAGAGGTCCCTCTTTCACTCTCTTGCTCGATCGTTCGAGGAGACATGAGCAGGTAAAGAATTTCGCCCCTTTTGAATTTGAGTACGCATAAGGTTGATTACGTTATGATTTCGAGTTCAATATTCAATCTATGATATATGATCCTGTTATTGAATTATTAAGTGCAAAATTTGAAGCTTAATGTTTTGATTCTTTTTAATTTGAGTATAAATTGGGTGAAGTTTCTGTGGAGTTTGATTTCAAAGAGTTACAGGTTCTGTTTATGTGAAGAACGGGTAACAAGAGTATCAGTCTTGCATAGTCGAGAAACGTGTTCTGATGCGGTTGTGTTTACCTTTCCTGATCTTGTACTCTATTCTTCTGGAACGAAGATGGATTTTTAATTGGGGGAATCAAATGGTGGAGTTTTGAAGTTGAATTTGGTGTGGCTTATAATTTGTTTTTAGAGAACTTGATAGGCTCATCAAACTTCCTAACCCTGTACATTGGAACCTGTTGGCTGTCAATTAGTAATGAGACTGATATCTGAGTTTGTTTCTGATAAGCACTAGGTTTGACGTTGAAAATGTTAATCCTTTTATGGTTTTGGGACATTGATTAATAACTGTAATTATTATCACTGCAGTTCTTTTTGTTCAATTTTACTCTTGCAAGTTAAGTAGCCTTTGAAATTTCTTCATAAAGAGAAAGATCTTACCACGGTTGTTTAAGACAAGTACAATTACATGCCCCTAGATCAGCTAAAATTTTAACATTTTGAAAAAGATAAGAAATCCATATATTGACTATCATATTGATATGGGGAGAGACTAATTTAAACAATCCGGTTCATCCAACTATGTTCTAAGTTGCCATATATGTGAATCTTCTCATTCGTATTTATTTTCTCTTTCTTGATCAGATGTATAAATTATTATTTGTTCTTGGAATAGGTTCATTGCAACAAGAAGGCTTGCTTCAAACATCTTTGTGTCAAAATCAGCTACAAGGACATTCTGCAATGATGCACCATCAAAATTAAATGATGTTCCACACGGAAGCCAATTTAACAAAGTAATGTTATTGTTTCTATCCTATTTAGGATATATTTGTTTGCTGGCATGTCAACTAATGTTTTCTATTTCGTTGGTCTGTGACACCTCACTTTGATGCTAATGTGGTTAGGTGTGCTCATGGGTTGGGTTGATCGGGTTAAAGACATTTGAACAACCCAACCCAATGATTGCGGTTTGAAAAATCTTAACCCAACCCAAACCAAAGTGCAACCCAACCCAACCCAAACCGTACGGGTTGGTCGGGTTGATACTTTGGTACATTAAAATATTCTTCTAACCTTGAATATGTTATTTTTCTACTCATAATTTCTTTTTCATCATTAACCTTTTGATTCAACTTATCCATACTTCTTATGTATATCACATTCAGTTAATTTTCTCAATTTACATATATATGTTCACAGTTACTAAACATATATATGAATGGGTTATATATTGATGTGAATAAATTGAAAATATGTGTATATGAAGAGCGTACGTGATAGTGTGATTGTCTAATCTATATATTAATAGAAATTCAACAATCATATTAAATCCAAGAAATAAAAGGATATCGGGTTCATCGGGTTAGGTTGGGTTCAAATTATAGTAACCCGATATCAACCCAATACATACGGTTTGAAAATTTTACAACTCGATTAGACATAGGGTTGTTTCGGGTTGAGTTACTTCGTGTTGGGTTGGGTTGATCGGGTTGGTTGGGTTTTTGAGCACTCCTAAATGTGGTGGGTTGTCTTGTTATGCAGCATATACTTACTTGTAGACCTCAGTCTGTTAAGAAAGGGGTTTCTGCAGATTTTGAAACTTATAAATTTAGGTGGAAAAGAAAGGAAGATGGATAGGGTACAAGAGCAATTGTTTCATCTAATTACAAATATTGGGAGGATTAGGTGATATTGCTTCCAGAATTGGTTAACAAGTTTTCTTAAGCATTTGGTTCCTCCATTAATTCGACAAATATCACATCTCTGGAATCTATTGTTTAGCACTGACTTTGTTCACTCTTTCCTTTCTAGGAGCTTGAGGATGAGCAAGGTTTTACAAATGATATCCCTCAGTATGACATTGCTATTGTTGGGGGTGGGATGGTTGGGATGGCCCTGGCTTGTTCGCTAGGTAATTGTGTACCTTGTTCAGTCAACCTCATGTTCATGATTTCCTGCTTGCATTTCAATTCTCTAATTTAATGAATTTGTGAGGCACAACTATTTGAAACTCTTTCTTTGGATCTTATTTAGTTTGTGTCTTTATAGTGTTTAAAATATTGGGTTCTTCATGCAAGTTTTCTGTATTTCCTGTCTGGTTGCAGCAAGCATGCCGCTGACAAAGCAGTTGTCTATTGCCATCATTGACAGCAATCCTGCTTTGACAAATGGGTCATCCATCAAGAAAGATGATCCACCAGATCCAAGGGTCAGTACAGTCACACCTGCTACCATTTCTCTCTTTAAAGGTATTGAGTTCTATAAACTTGTCGGTTTCTTTTCTATGCAAAAGGGAACACAATGTTCTCTTAGGCAGCGTTTGGTACGCAGACTAGACAGGACGGGACGGGACAGGACTAATTGTCTGTCCTATGTTTGGTACGACTAGGACAGGACAGGACAAAACTGTTAAAATGACCATATTACCCCTAAATGTTGTTCAGTGTTATTTTATATCATATAATGATTGTAAAATGACAACAAATTAACCAAAATATATTTTAATTACATAGTTTGTGTAATCAAGTTTAATACATTAAATATAAATCCAAAAAAATGACAAAAGGGTGTTGACGAGCCAACCCGACAATACCACCCACAACGATCGAACATTTTTTATAAATCTATAAAACAATACCAAATACCAAAACAAGATTTCATTACAAAGACAATACCAAATACCAAAACAAGATTTCATTACAAAGACAAATATCAAATACCAAAACAATATTTCATTACAATGACAATACCAAATATCAAAACAAATTGGTTTCAGCTACAATGCATCATTTCTTTAAACATATAAACAGCCACAAATTGCATCCAACACAACCACTAAACTGTTGGATTGGAAAGCAAATAATGTGTATATCCCCAAAGAATGGCTACAGAATGAGCCTCATTCTAACCTAAACATGCTCTGCTTACTCTTACTATGTAATTAATTACCAAAAGTAGTTAGCCTGCTCCATCCAAATGTGCTTACTTCTTATCAAAAGTGCTGTTAGCCTGCTCCATCCAAATGTTTGCGAGAAATTGCTTTCTGGCATTCTAGACTATATGAATTCAATATCATAACCAGTGAAAACCCAGGTGGAGCTTCTTTCTACAGGTAATAAAATCCACATAAACCCCAAATGTTTGCGAGAAATTGCTTCAGTCCCATGTTGTTCCACCTTTTTTGGTGGAACAAAAAATATCAAGTTTTGTCCCATGAATTTTAAAAATAGTCCCATCTTGTCCTATGTATTTTTTGTTCATGGCATGCCAAACATGGGACTATTTTTTTTTGTCCCGTCCCGTCCCATGTAGTCTGCATACCAAACGCACCCTTACTCCCTTCTTTCCAAGCCTTTTTTAACGGCACATAATTGTAAGGGGATAGGGTGCATATTTTATGTGTAGATAAAGGCATGTAATAGATAAATCATGTTTCATACAATACATCGCAAAAAGGATCATATTGGAAGTTTTATTTATTTATTTATTTTTAGTGGCATTGAATACAACGTGGCTAACTAAGGGACCTTGAACCTTACATGGCATTTTATCATAAGAAGAATAACAAAACACATTTTCTGGTATTGCATATAGAAAAAGATATATAAAAGAATAAGGCTAATTGATATCCAAGATTTTAGTTGATCCATTAAGGTTCTTGGGGATCTTCTTTGGCTAAGGAGAACTAGATGCCAAAGCCTCCAGACTCCAGAGTATGTGATATTAAAAGTCCTCTTACTTACAATGGGAATGGTAAAACAAATGCCATTGTCTTGTGGAATAGACTTCTTTATGCTTTTCCCTCTTTCACTTCTTTCTCCCCGTTATTCTGTTTGAAGTATCCACCTAACACTCGGTACTTGGGAAAGAGCAATGCTGAGATTGCCCCAATCTGTGTGCCAAAAATATAAGGGATATGCAGGTGTTTGGGGCTGGGGAGGAAAAATAATTTACTTCACATGATCTATCTTAATTCAAAGCATTTAATTGGGAGAAAATATGATTTTTTTTTACTATTTGGTCCAATAACAATAATTGGAATTTCTGTTCTGTAGGCATTGGTGCTTGGCAATATGTGGAACAACATCGACATGCCTATTTTGATAGAATGCAGGTAATGTAGAATGCAAGATCATTTGTCTAGTTGTTGGAGCAATCTTTTGTGTCGTAGTGCACGGTTTCAGAAATGGAATGTTATACACTAGTATCATAAACTATCCACATTTCACGGAAACCTCAATATACAAATTGTATAACCAGAGACGAACCTAGAAACTTTTTCAAGTGGTGGCACCATTTGTCTATAAGAAACAAATATATGGATACTTTTCACAAAATCAATATTGGTCTGGTGGTTAGTTCATTGTTTTTCATATGTGAGGTCCTGTGTTCAAGTCTTCTATCACAAGCTTTTTTAGAAACATAATAAATCTGAAACCAAGAGCTAAAAACTAAGAAAATGACACTAACAGGACTCAAACTCGGGTCTGGGGTGCAAACCAATTCTACCAAGGGAAACTTGTGTCCTCATTGTAGTTTCAAAATATATATGGTGGTACATAACAAATTGATACGGTGACACTTTTCATGACCGTATAATTCTTTACACTACGACGAAGGAACGAAGCGGTGGCCCGTGCCTCCGTATGCACTATGCACTACACTGTGGCCATCCATGTGTATAATAACATCAGTTAGAAAGTTTTGCTTATTATTTTTCTTAAAGCAGCTTCAAAATTTGAATACTTTCTTCAAAAGGAACATTGATTGCATGGTTGTATAAAGATTGTGTTTATGTTGAGAATTATATAATTATAGAATTTTTGTGGAAGAAGGAATATTTGTGGTTGGTCAATTTTACTGCTGTTCTATTTGTGACTCCTTATGGAACTCGGAGTAGTATCTGTAATGGGTACATTTGAAACCTATATGTTATACCAAGTTGAAGGTGTAATGACCCAAAAATACAAAACTACTCCAATTACATAATCATTTATTCAATGTCTCTTGCCATGTTCATATTTCCTATAGTACATGCATAGTTAACTGTTCCATATTTCAGAATTTGCACACCTTCTATTTTACACACAAGGAATATTGAACACATCACTTCAAACTTTCCATTTTGGTTTCTTCTTACTATGCTCTTTTCTTCAATCATATTGACTTTCCTCAAAGTCATAATATCCAACAACTCTATTGCAAAATATCTCATGCTTTCTCTATATATACATTACTTGAATCACTTTCTACTTTAAGGTCTCATATGCATCAACATCATATAACACTTCTATTAGATTAACCAAATACTACTCTTAGTTTAAGTCTAGGCTATAATGACCCAAAGTTTCGAAACAACTCTGATTACATAATATCATCCCAAAATCAAATCATTAAAAGAATATACCGCGATGGAAAATCACATTTAGATCATTGAATTATTAATAAATTTAATATTGAATCTTCAAAGTACAAAGTAAATAATCATCACAAGTCGTAATCAAATCTTGATTGACACCTTCAACAAAACTCAACTGACAAAGCTCTCTGTTGCCTTAATTGCAATATGTTTCAACAGAAGGGTTAGACTTAAAGGTCTAGGGAGCTTTATGGGTTTTCATGCACGTTGACATCAATAATAACATATAATACTTCAAAACATCAAGTTTGAAACATCTTGTTCAAATAAACATGCATATTCGTAAAAAATGCTTTAACCCCCAGGTAACTACAGACCTGTCGCGAACATCACACGTATGTGACAAACTGGCAAAAACACATTCTTGGCAACCCAAACCATTGTGTCGACATGAAATGAATTCTGCAGACTATTATATTACCTATGGTGCACCCACTCCCACTTCGACCCACACATAAACCGGTGTGTAACAGAACATGTTCATGCATATATAACCCATACATTTGCATGCTTCAAACCAATCATGATAATATAAAACACGCAACTTTCCAATAAAACATTGCATGCGATTGACAAAATACACCACATGAAACTCACTTGACGTCCAAAGTCCTAGAGCCACGCTCACAAAGATAATTGGCCTTGCTATCGACCCCCGGGTAACGTAATATTAATTCAACAATATCTTACAAGGCTCACAACTTTCCAAGTCCAACGATGGCTTCACGGACCTAAAGTTGAAGCTCATTCGTGACCATTTGTCATAAATGTTAAATTGATGTCTTAAATTCCAATTTTAGCGACTTAACACCAATGGATAAATCCACCTCCTAAATGCTTCGAATTAGCATCTTAAAACTTAATTCGGCGAGTTTAAGAGGTGGATCTATCCATAAGTTTTAGTTTGTTAAAATTGGAATTTAGGACATCAGTTTAACATTTGTGACAAATGGGCATGAATGAACTTTTAATTTTTAGGCTTGCAAAACCATCGTTGGACTTGGAAAGTTGTGAGGCTTATAAGATGCTTGTTGAATAAATTATTATGGGTATTCGGTTATCTAGGTGTTGGTAGCGAGGCCAATTAGCTTTGTGAGCGTGACTCTAGGACTGTAGACCTCGAGTGAGTTTTATGTGCTATAATTTTACATGGATTTCATACCATGTTTTATTGGAAAATTGTCTTGATGCTTTATTAACTGTTATCATGATAGGTTTGATGCATGAAAATGTATGTGCTATATGTTTAAAATAACATGTACATGTTTCATTATAGATTGGTTTATGTGTGGGTCGGGTTCACTCATTAAGTGGGACTGAGTGCGCCGTAGGGACTATGATGGTTTGCATGGGAAATTTTCTTTGTGCACAAGAATTTGTTTCTTGTCAACATGATGGTCTGGTTTGGCATGAATGCATACTTGTTGGTTTGTCACATGCGTATGATGTTTGCGATCAGTGTGTAGTTACCGGGGGTTAAAGCGTTTTTGATGAATATTCATGCTTATTTGGATAAGATCTTTTAAACATGATTGTTTTGAATTATTATTTGTTATTGTTGACATCAACTTGCTTGAAAAGAAATGAAGCAAACTAGCCTTTCAAGTCTAACCCATCTTGCTGAAAAATATTGCAAATGGAAGGTTTTGTCATTTGAGTTTTGTTAAAGGTCCCTTTCAGGATTTGATCTGAGTGTAAATTTTCTGTTGCGATATACTTTTTGATGATCTTGGGATGATATTGTGAATTTTTGAGTCGTAAATTTATCATGACTTGTGATTGAAGATCAATTGCTTTTTACTAGGTATGGGATTACACTGGCTTCGGATACACAAGGTATAATGCAAGAGATGCAGACAAAGATGTTTTAGGGTAAGAACAGAGTTAATTGGTTCACTAATATTCTTATATACCTGTTGTCATACTGTCTAATGATCTTTTCTGGGATTTCAACTCAGTTGCGTTGTGGAGAATAAGGTGCTACATAAATCTTTATTGTCATGTTTACAAGTAAGTGATACGTGTTTTAGGTGGTCTTTTCTTTTCCCACTTTGATCGTGGGATCATTGGAATCCCTATTGCTACTCCCGCAGATATTTCTCTTTTAATGGCTTTCACGTAGCTCTAGATACATTTGACTGATGGAAATAAAACTGAACAGAACAAAGATTTCAAGAAAACAATCTATCCTACAAGATTGTCGTCAATGTCACTTCCAACACGTTCATCAGTTTCTGCCGCAGGAGCCTCACAATCAAAAAGTCTTGCAAATCTAGCAAAGCTGGAGCTGAGTGATGGCACAAACTTGTATGCTAAGTTGGTGGTAAGTTTTAATGTCTTGGAAATCTATTATTGCATGTGAATGAAGTTTGTTTTTATAGAAAAAGATGCGTTGATGGTTAATTTTATATCTTCACCATTCAAGAAAAATGTGACACCTTTGGCTATATTTGGCAAACTAAGCTGATTAAGCCAGCTGTCAGCTGATAAACTAGTCATGTTTGGTAAAAACTAGCAGATAAGCTAGATGCCAATGTAAAATGATATGTTAAAAGATTAATTGAAAAAATATAAGGGGCATGATTGGTTAAAAGTGGGAAAAACCCTGAAGTTCATCGAACGAAGTCGCTTTTCAGAAAGCTAGCTTATGGCTAACCAGGCGGGGTTCTTTCAGTAAGCTCAAAAAATAAGGTAGCTTATGGTTGCCATGCATGGCCTTTGTCATATGTGAGAAGACGACCAGCTGTGGCTTATCTCAGATTCATGATGTTTGTAACAGGTTGGAGCCGATGGGTCCAAATCACATGTTAGGGAGTTAGCAGGAATCAAAACCACTGGTTGGAATTACTCGCAGAGTGCAGTCATTTGCACCGTTGAACATTCTGCAGAAAACTTCTGTGCGTGGCAACGATTTCTACCTGCGGGTCCAATTGCGCTTTTGCCTATTGGTGACAACTTTAGCAACATCGTTTGGACCATGTCTCCTAAAGAGGCATCAAACCATAAAATAATGAGCGAGGATGATTTTGTGAAAGCTGTAAACCATGCTCTTGATTTTGGATACGGCCCTCATCCTGAATCACAGGTGTTTGGCAGTGGTGTACTTTCTTCCTTTTTCAGACCAGATGTGACATCATCGGCCAATGAGGGATTTGAACTTCCGCCAAAAGTGGTGAAAGTAGCTTCACAGAGGATGGCTTTTCCGCTTTCTTTGATGCATGCAAACCAGTATGCGTCAAAGCGTGTAGTTTTAATTGGTGATGCGGCTCATACTGTTCATCCCTTGGCTGGTCAAGGAGTTAACATGGGGTATGGAGATGCAGCTTCACTTTCGAACGTCATTGCTGATGGTGTTGCAGTGGGATCTGATATTGGTGAGGTAAATGATACATTACCCCTTCCACTATTTTTTACGGTCAGACTTTTAGGGGAGTTTGGTACACAGTACAGGACCGAATCGGACAGAACAAAAGCTTGTTATCCCATGTTCGGCACGGCATTAGATTGAGATAATGCCATGATTAAGTGGGACAAAAATCAGGGAGATGAGACAAGATAGGTAAATTATTAAACTACCCATGTCTAATTAACCTAAATCCTTCATAGCAATTCTTGCACCTGCCTACCTCACTCTTACCCTTCCAGTCCCGTCTACCAAATGCACCCCAAAATCTGCTTTAGGGCACATCACATTAATCTTACCTCACAATTAGATAATCAACATATGTAGCAGATCTCGCTTATTGTCAAACCAACTAACGTACAACTCCAATACAAATCGCTTAGAAGTTTGAGATAAATTTTATAACCAATACCAGAAGCAGAAAAATTATGATGCCACATTTGTTCCTGCAAATCAAGATCACCTCGACTTCAGAGGTCAAGTGCCCCTCTTTTCGATAACTAGTGTTTACTGTTTACTAAATCTAAGAGGGACATGGCATGGATCATATGTGCAGGTAACGTTGCTGAAGAAATATGAAGCTGATAGGAAAACAGCGAATATAACCATGATGGCTGTTTTGGATGGTTTCCAGAAAGCGTACTCTGTTGATTTTGGACCACTTAATATATTACGAGCTGCTGCATTCAATGGTGCAAATGTTTTCGCGCCGTTGAAGAAGAATATCATCTCGTATGCGTCGGGAGAGCGTAGACTGCCTTTTCTGTCATGATGTAAGTGGTTCTTTTCTTTCGAATAAATGTATCAAAGTGTTGCAGTCGATGCTGTTTGGTAGTTAGGTTCCATGGGTTTAAAGGATGTTAGAGAATATTTTACAAGTTTTAAGAAGCTGTGCAGTAGCAAATATATGATATGTTGCTTCATTGTTGTCTATTGATTTGCTTGGGCCTTTTTTTTGTCATCAAAGGGAGGGATTATTGTAGGCAGTATACTAGAAAACATGCACCTGAATAACCAAATCATGCTTTCGAACTCTGAAACTTGCATGGCTTCAAACCCTCCAAAAACTACACAGAAGAACATAAATGGAGTTCTTTTTGGGCCAAAAACGTGTTCGTTTTGCTTGTGCAATCATAATTTTTGCCAAGTTTTGGAAAAGCTCGACAATGAAAAAGCCAATCATTGTGGATGCTACCTTCTTCCCTTTATACAAAAATCTTCATACCTTCTTCCACCAAACATCAATCACAGTTGTCCCCGGAACGTAGCACTGTTGATTCTAAGGTGATATACTTACTGCATCTACGGGTACACGGTTACATCAAATTTGGCGTAGAATTGGTATTTGGTGTAAATGATGGTGTAAAATTAGCATTTGGTGTAAATGAATGGTGTTACACAAATTTGATGTTTGGAGTAATTTAGGGGGCGTTTACCAAAAACTTACCCGGTAAGTGCTTACTGACAAAATTCAACACTATCATTTACTTACCGGATAAGATTTTAGTCAACAAAAACGGCATCATATGCAATAATTTACCCGATAAACACTAAATATGGTAAGAGTCCTCACCCTCACCGAGTAAGACTCTTGGTCCTTCCCTCGCTCTTACCGTGTAAAATGCTTGGTCCTTACTACATTCATCCGTAAGGTAATTTGACTTGGTAAACACATACCCGGATAAATGTTCGGTGAACATCCCCTTGGGTGTCAAACTTGATGTCCCGAATGGAGATGGTGTGACGCGAACAAACATCAATCATAGTTGGTATTTGGCAATGACTTTTTAACATAAATTTAAGCTCTATATCATTTCCCTGTTCCAACCTTACATGTATCCATTTGCTGAGTTGACTGACCGTCCTATACAACTGAAAGTTCCAGCAAGCCATGGAGACTAATTGATTGATTTATACAAGTTCACAAATATAATTCCTATGGATATATGCACAATTGAGTGGCTGGTTGATGATGCTTAGGATAAGAGGACTTGATTGCACAACATCAAGCCAAATGTAATGATAATGGGGTTGCTGCACTCTAATACAAAAATGTATCCCGGATCAATCGTGCCATAACACGAGAAGACAACCTGCTTAGCACCTCAGGTACCACTTTGGCTGATAGGCCTGGCATTATTGGGAGCAGCTCTCGGATGACACGATTCACATCTAAACCCTGTTGCATCAAAGCAAGAGACCATAATTAGTAACACACATCACAGCTCACTCTTTCTTCACTTGTACTTCACTATATATATGTATATCATATCACACACAAACAAAACATACACACATAAGCTCAATAATATAAAGCTGCAAATATCAATGCACCAATTGGGTCACAAAGACTTGTGTCATTGAGTTCAAGGTCCATAAAAAAAGCTAGAGATATCCATCCTCACTTTTCTTTTGCAGGGATGTCTTTGTATATGAGAAAATTGCCAGAATATGGTAGATGCAAGTCCTAACTCTAAATGCATACTTTCTCTGATAGAGGGTGAATACTCAATACCATCAAAATCTAGAGTCAGATACTTTTTTTTACTGAATACTTGAGAAAACAGTAAAGCGCCAATATTTCAGTACCTGATCTGGTGATTGTAGTCTTGAATCTCCAGCGGTTAGAAATTCAAGAATCTTTTGAACATTGTTCAGTATAATTTTGTCCTCCTCGGTTATGTAAGGAATTAAACCTGTAGGCCTGATGGTTCCAAAGGTAGGAACCATGCTGAAAACTGGGGCAGGACTTCGGATTCCCAATACTGCCATAACTTGAACCAACTGTTCTCTGGTAATAGCATCAATGCCTTTCACAATCTATTTACAAGAAAAACAACAATTAATACAGTTTAAGATTCTTGTCTCACAACTATATTATGGAATATCTACACAATCTTGATGTAGCAGTGACTAGTGCCATTCTTTGAAGCTACAAGATGCAGCAAAATAGAAGATAAAAAAGTAATATGAGTCTTTGTTTTGTTTTTGTTATTTTTTTGGGGGAAAGGGGAGGGGTGGGAGGTGGTTTTGCTGAAGGATGACAAGAATATGTTAGTACCTCATCCAAAAGAAATTCTCGGAAGAAATTCCCTTTGTCAGACAGCAGAAATGCTAAGGCTGCTCTTGTTTGAACTGGCTGTTCTTGAGATCCACCTGATTGTAACTGGGGGAATGTAAAGTTTGACTGGTTTTGCAGAAGACCAAGTTCAGCCATACCACCATTTAGATCCTCTCCACCACCACTTTTGGCTGCTGTTATGAAACTCTCAAAAGCTTGCATGACATCTATAAATCTTTCAGCATCAAAAACACCAGATTTTCCATATACAGTGTAACGCAAAGCACTTCTTAAACGTGGAGATTCATCAGTAAGGAGCCTCTGACATTGCACAACAGAAAAAACAAACTTTGTTTAGACAAAAATGGAGCTGATTCATTGAAAAATTATAACGAATGAGCTGATGAAGATAGATAATAATTTTCAGAATCCAGAGTGGTTAACTTTGTTGTCCATTTGAATACTTTCTTTTTCTTAATATATTGCATTTTGTTTACAAATTGTCTGAATTCATACCATACTATTGCTTGCATTTAGTTATCTGTGTATAGTTTTAGATCACATCATATATCAGGACAGATTTTGAATATGAATTCTTTATAATGTAGCAATTAATGAAGCATTCTTAGAAAGTTCAGTATATAAATTATACCTGCGCAATATAGGGATATGCTTCATCTACAATGGCGAATTCTGGATCCCCTACTAAAGCTATACCCTCGAGCACTCCTATTGCTCTAATTATAAGAGCAAAATAAGGAGGTATGCGGAATGGATAGTCAAATGTTATTTGTGCTAAATCAGCCGCCAACTCCTGAAAGTTGATATTTTTTGCTCCTCCACCTTCAAGGGCCTGGTCAAATACTTTGGCTAAAACAGGCAATATTGGATCCAAATTTACCCCCTCGGGAATGAAACCAAGTTTCACAAAATCTTTAACAATAGCATCATAATCTCGGTGAATAAGATGAGCAATAGCTTCAATCATCCCATACTTTTGATCATCCGTCAATTTTGTTACCAGACCTGTCAGCAAAATAGTTAACATTAGTTCCTTTGATGCACTATCTATTCAAATATTTAGCTCTAGAACAGGTGGAAAGAACTTGCACAAAACTACTACCAAAAGATGATATAGTTATTACCGAAATCAAGAATAGCCAGCTTTCCATCTGGAGTGCGAATCATATTTCCAGGATGTGGGTCAGCATGGAAGAAGCCTGTATCAAGCAACTACAATCACAACAGTCCGAGTAAGAAATCATTACCAATGCAAGTGCTGTCAACAGATTGAGATGCAATATGATATCATGCTCTAGCTAACAAATTCCTAACTAAATAAGGTTGCACAATCTGCTTCCAGTGGAGAACTTGTGAAAAGAAAGTACAAGTAGCTTGTGTACATTTTGGTAAGGAGGGAAAAAGACGATGTGTGAACTTTTAGAAGAGGAGTTGCTTAGACTGCCCATCAAATAGGGTGACATGGAAAGGGAGTTTCCAATGCATTTTCAATCACATTAATCTGCCAAAATTGCAGCAAAACAAGGTTCAAAATATATTAAAGGCTCTACAGCTCCAGAAGCAATTTGCCCTTCATGCATATAATAATAGGGCTGAGCACCCCTATTGTTTTCGTAATAGCTTAAAATTTAAAAATCAACAACAAAGATAGAAGGCAAAGTACCACATGTAGACAGGACATGAATACAAAATTTCATGTGTACCTCTTATTCCAAACTAGAGTTGGTAATATCTACTCCAAAAAGCGCCATTTATTTAAAAAAGTTTACCTGCTTTAGGTAGCATATCACTCCAACATTAACCAGCTCCCCAACATCACTTTCTGTACTTTGCGAAAGCTTTTCACCATCTACCCATTGTGTAGTAAGAACTTTCCTTGATGTGTATTTAGTGTACGTCTTAGGTATGACAACCTGGAAAACCAGAACGTCTTAAAATATGTAAAAAAAATCTAATCATAGTCCATGTAGATTATATGCAAATCTTATCATATAGTCCATGTATCCAATTATAAGGCAACAATTACTTGTGGCAGGTCCTTCTTCATCATCTCTGCAAAATATGTTCCATTTTCACCCTCGTTAACATAGTCAAGCTCCTCAAAGAAACGGGCAGCCCACTCATCAACCAATCCAACAACATCCACAGAGATCTAGAAATGAGAGGAACAAATACCATAAACCACTTGTTTACCCCAAAAATCAGGAGCACTAGATATAGAAAGGAAAATAAAATATGGGATTGCGTTTTGACCAACATTACCTGAGGAAAGCGTCGAAGAGCCAATCCCAAGTTCCTTATGATGAACAGATCAACAGTTACCGTTTCAAGCACAAAAGGACGCTGTACCTTAACAGCAACCAAATCCCCATTTTCCTTTAGTCGGCCCTTATACACTTGCCCAAGGGAGGCTGCAACATTCACAACATAGGTAAATGTTAGGTGCTTCTTTTTTTAATTTGCAACAAATCAAAAACCATATGCATCAACAGCTTATATTCTTCCCCAAAAAAAAAGTGTATTTCTAACAACAGAATATAGATAAAAAAGTGATGGAGACCAAATAATATTCACTCTTCAAGAAAAAATAAGAAAAGGGGGGAGGGTGATCCAGATAATATCTGAAAAGGAGTATGTGATAATGAAGTCACCTGCTGCTATAGGGGAGGTTGTGAGTTCTGAATATATGTTGTACCACGGCTCTCCAAGTTCCTCTTCTAAAAGTGCCATGGCAATGTCATCTGGATATGATGGAACCTTCCACAATCATAAAACAAAGTCCTGCAATGAGAACCTTTGAATGCACATATACTAGATGAACACATTACACATCCTAACACTCATCATTTTGGTAATAAGAAAGGTTCAAGTTTCTTTTATCAATTCAAGTTTACTGCATAGACAGCTGATTAGAGAAGTCGGATCTTACCTTATCACAAAGCTTTTGTAGCTCTGTCATCGCAGCAGGTGACAGTATATCTGGCCGAATGCTTAACGCTTGCCCAAGTTTTATGTATGCTGGACCCAAAGAGGTTACAATTTCCCTCAACTCAATTGCCCTAGCTACTTCATTCTGATCAACATAACAAAAGCGATACAGAAATATAATCAGGTGAGCACCAAGGATGAAGCTTCACATGTAAAAATGCACAATTTAAGCTACTGATGAAGTGCTAGCTGGATCATTATTTGTGTTCTCTTCCTTGTAGCATACTTCATCCTATGAAAATTGCAACAATCACATATTGACATGCAACTTTAGGATCTATCAGCCTATCATATTAAAGTTCTTACTGATAAATGTGTATGTGCTTCAACATTTGCAAAGATATCATAAAACACTTATCTAAATGGGCACCAAATAATAGAATATACAATTTCATGATAAGGAGGTAACAGTTACATGATAAAACTATCAATTGAGCATCCATCATCTTCATATCCAAATAGTAGGCATTCCTACCGCACATAACAGAATTACGAATTAAAAGAAAATGCCTCTTATAGCAACTTGGGAAATTATAGCAGCAGCAGATTGGGATGTTGATTGTGTTGCGTTCAACATCATCATGAATGTTCCACAACAAACTTACTTAGCTACATAGTTTTACCACATATAAGAGGGTCAATATGGTTGGAGGATCAACGAGGCTGAACATTTCAGACGCAGAAAGCAAAAAGCCACCACTTAAACTACCATTACTGTTTGAACATATCTAATTTGAGGATGGAAACCAAAATGGGTCCACAATAAAACTCGCCTCAACATTTCAAAAGTGGCATGGCAAGTATTTAGTTTACGCTTTTAAACTCCCAAAACAAAAACGATCACTCACCTCTTTAACCTTTTTATTTATCACGTCCCACGCAAGACGTGAAAGAAATCCTCCTGCAACTGACGTCAGTTGTATGATGCGAGTGGCAACAGCTCGTGGCCTTTTACCCCAATATGCAGAGATGCTAACAGGGTCATATACCATTGGGAGAAGTTCGCTACTTTCATCAGTCTGACAAAGTGCACAACAACATAACGTATCAAAATCCCGAAATTTTTATATAAGAACATGTAAGCGCACATCAATTGAGACACATATAATAAAATTCTCATATCATAAAATGAATGATGTGGATTGAGAATAGGACCTCCACAAGGCGAAGTTCAACATCGTCAGCAGCAAACTGAGCGTCACTTAAATTTTGACCCCTAAGCCCCTTCATAAGTGATGCCAACTGCTCATTCTCTTCCATCTGAGCTCTAACTCTTTTAATCTCTTGTGAAACGGTCTCCATTCTCTGCAAACAAAACACTCCAAATTAAAACCTAAATACTTGTTCACCGACTGAACACATAACTTAAATTCAAAAATAACAAGTGAAAATGTACCGTGGAAGTGCCGTTAATTGAAGATCCATTGACGGTTCTGGACGGTCTAGCTTCGGTTCCCTTGGGTTTGGGCTCAGTTGCCACGGCACGAATCACTCCATTCCGACGCTTAACCCTAACAATACTCGGAAAGGAACGGCGAACGGCAGTGAATCTGCTGCCGTCATCCTTGGACGGTAAGGAGCGAGATAGAGAGTCGATTCTGCAAGAGGTAATCTGCGAGGTTGCTTCCATGGCGGAATCGACAAGGAAGATTCTTCGATTGAAAGAAGTGAAGTTTGGGCGTGTATGTATGTGTGTTGGTGTTGGTGTTGGTGTTGGTGTTGGCGATGTGTGAGTGGGTTGACCACTCGTAAATTTCGTGGATCAACAAAAAAGTGAAAATTGTGAGTACACGTGGCGGAAGCAGGAGCAAGCAAATCTTGCCTTTTTGGTTTGGCGGGTATTCCCCACCTTCTCCACAAAAATCTTGTTACCCACTAAAAAAAACTTATTGTATCTTTATAGTTAAAAAATAACATAGTTATTTTCCAGAGTTGTTTCATTTTCTAACCATTTTCGGTTACGTTCCAATTTTTTTGGAGACCTTGATACATTCAAATTTTTTTATTACATTGTATAAATGAGATGACAAATGATATATGTTAAGAATAAAAATGGGTTAAATTTAAAACGATTAACAATCTGAAACTAAACCTAAACCATTACTGATTTGAACTTAAAACCAAATAAGTAATGGTTTGAATTTAAATAATTTCGCCTCTAGTTTTACGTAGGTCAATAAAAAAACTCTAAACACATGTAAATTTAAACCCTAAAATTTCGGAGGCCCTGTTCAAAATCTCATATTTAACATGCTAAGGGACCGTCCTGACCATTCTATCTTTAAATTTACCAAAATCGTTATATGTGGAGCTGTAAACGAACCGAACGAACATAAGTTTTTTCATGTTCGTTCGTTTAGCTTAACCGAACAAACGAACGATAAACGAACGAAAATAATTATGTTCATGTTTGTTCGTTTAGAAATCAAGTGTGTTCGTGCTTGTTTATGTTCGTTTGTTAACAAACTAAACAAACGTAAACGAACGAACATAAACGAACAAACATAAACGAACGGGTTAAACGAACATAAACGAACGGGTTAAACGAACATAAACGAACGAACATCAATACTTGTCATTCAATTAACTGTTACACATCAATTATCCAAAGTTTAAACATACACAAAACAATCACCATTTATCAACCATCATTAATATACCAATACTTAAAAGACCCAATATTTTAAGATTTTTTAAAATTTGAATTCAAACTAAATAAATAAAAGTTATATATTAAAATTAATATATAAACAAACGTAAATGAACGAACGTTCACGAACATAAATAAACGAACGAGACTCTTATTCATGTTCGTTTATTTAACTAAACAAACAAAATTTTTTGTTCATGTTCGTTCATTTAATTAAACGAACACTTTTTTTTGTTCATGTTCGTTCATTTATTAATAAATGAATATAAACGAACTTCCCGTCGAACGGTTCGTTGAACGTTCGATTCGTTTACAATCTTAGTCATATTCGCAATTGTAAACCCAGCTAAAAGACAATTTTTTACACTCCCTATCCTGTTTGCAGAAAAAAAAATTACATTTTCCACCTAGATCCGCAAAAATGTTACATTCCTCACCCAAGTCTGCAATTTTTTTTAAAAATTTCATTCAGATCCGCAAAAAGAAATTAAAATTGCAGGACCTAGAACTATTTTGATAAACCTTTTAAAGAAGTGACTAAAAGGTGAAACTAACCGTAAAAAAGATAAACAGTTTCTTTTACAAACCAATTAATTTTAAGAAACTATAGTCACTGTTTATATTAGAAAATTATTAATGTAAAAAGGTATATTTTACCATGCCTATTATCTGGTGCTACAAGCTTCACCAAAGAAGAATGAAAAGTTGTAATGTTTTCTACCGGCAAAATGAGGGGTTAAGAATAAGGATCGAAGCCTCTTCTTCCTCAAAGGAAAGATATTTGAAAGTAGCATTCTATGTATCAGTGTGATATGTAACTTCCAGCAGCTTCTAAACGAAGGAGTAAGATTAGAAATTACTGAAAATTAACCTGTCAGAGGACGTAATGATCAATTTGCTTGTTCATTTATTTTCTCCATTTGAGCTTTCAAAGATATCCGACCTTAGGATATCAAATAATGATGACTAATTTAAAATAAATATAACAATTTTTCACATTGTTTTTAAATAAACATAATATTAAATCTAATTTAATGATATTTTGAGGTATGAATATTGACCGTCAGTGTTTTTTATATTCAATCGAAGAGTTTTTAGTGTAGCGGAACCTAAACTACCACTCAAATTCTGACCTCTTTGAAGATCAAATGTTTAAATTTCATCAAAGTGTGTGAGAATATTTGTCATTCCAAAAAAAAAAAACTGTTTATTTATATTTCAAACAAATTTTTACTGATTTTATATTTGATGTGAATATATTATAGTTTCAAGTAGAAAATAACAATAAATATTATTTGTTACGATATATACACAAACACACAAAATTTGTATCAATTCGTGACCACTCGAGTTGAGATTTGTGGTCTCCGGTTATACTTGTAATTTTCAGAATCTTTTTTGATGGATTTTTTTTTGGTTGGACCAGAAATTATGCAATTTGGTTCCACCCAAAATTTTGAAAATTAATGATATAATTTGAAGTGGTAAAAGTCATTCTTAAATGTTTGAATAATTAATTTTTAATAACCATTTTTAAAATTAACAATAACAAAACTAGAATATATAACAACCAGAGCCTTTGGTTTCTAGGTCTCAGGTATCTCTGAATTGCATGATCAAAGCCTTTGATCTGTATGATCAAAGCTCTGTACTTCTTCTATCGTTGCTTTTGACTTTGAGATGTTTATAACTATTCTTAGATCTTATTCATTAACGGCTGTAATTGTCATGCAGTTATGTCTTAACCTTTTTAATCGCCTGTAACCATCAATCTCTCATATAAATATCTTAACAATAATATGGGTATGTATAAGGACCCGATCTTACGGCCTCTTAAGATTAAAGTCTCTTTTGGATTATCCAAAATACAAAATTCGTGATACCCAAGATATTAAGGGATGAATTATTGTATTTGGAAAGTGCACTTTCACGATCCAACGAGATTATCCAGTCCATGTATCATCTCCAATTCCTAATTCTAACAATGCTCACTAAAAAGGTAAGTGATATTAGGTAAACAATTGCCTGGTATACGTTTGATAAACGGTCGCTTAGCATCTCCCTGCAACTACTTCTTCAAGGTTACTGTATTATAAGTCGCTTTTGCAACAAGGTGTTGTTATGTGCTTTGCTAACTTAAGTGGTTTCTAATGTGTTTTTTAAAATAAACCAAAAATTACGTTGCTTGCTCTAAAAATCACCTAAAATTTTGCATTCAGACAAAGGGTTAAATATGCGTGAAACCCCCAAATTAACCCTGTGGAAACACGACTGTCGCCTGACACGATCGTGAAACTTTTTGCGTCGCATTTTTGGCATGGTCGTGTTAGTTATCAGGAAAGTCTATTATTTGTGCTGATTTTGGCCTGAAATGGTACGATTGTGACAAGATGAAAGCAAGACTTTTGGTTACTCTTATCACAGTGCCTTGAGTCACTTTAATCCGAGCTTAAACAAGTGAGATTATAATCAAAATAATATAGGAAGGCAAAGATGTCTACAAACATGTTTTTGTTGTTTTGCTTGATTCAACCCTCACGCATGTCCAACATTTGGTTCTTCCATATACTCTTTGGAACTCACCGTTAACAAGTTCGTTATCATGCCGACACATGCTAATTAGTTGATCAAATACGCTAAACATGTCTTGTTTCTTCGATTAAAACTTACATCATGAGCACCCGAAACGTTAAAATGGAAATCGACTAAAAATTATGAATCAATACAAGGTACAAAAATGCAGTTGCAATGATTCAAGAAGATAACCAAAAATGCATGCTAAAACACCGAATACGAAAACAAAAAAGTTACCTTCTGACATTTGTAATTAATCATAATCTCTTACTTTAAAAACTTAGAGAGAATGAATGATCCACGTATTAATATTGCTCAACTTCTACCATAGTGAACTCCTCCCTACATTCTGCAAAAAAGTATGATGGAGCTTTCCTACTGTAATGGTCCTACAACCATTATAGAGTACCGTACGAGTCCCACAACCATCATAGAGGAGGTAAATTATGTGTCCTAACGATAAGTGGGTGGTGTCTGTAATCAGACCCGAGACCTTGAAACCCCTTTTTCTTTAACCAATGATGACTTCTATCATTTACTACAATATTAGATAATTTGGTTTACCAAAACTTACAAGAGATCTAATCATCGGGAACATGATCTTATTAAAATTGTGGTAAAAGAGAAATTGAAGAATGAATTCGATCAGTGACGATGACAAAATGCACCGATTTATCCAAGGTTCGGTTAACTAGACGGGTTTCTAATGAGGTGAAAGAACATCAAAACCTTTCCTAACTGTAAGCCCTGTATTGTCCTAAAGGCTCGCGGGTATGAGCTAAAAGGATAGCTAACCTAGAAGAGAAAATGTAATGAAGCTGTTGCAAAAAGGAAGGATTTTAAAAGCATTTGAAGCCAGGGCATATCGAGAGAATAATGACCAGAACCAAAGCAACGAAGATACCAAAGACTATCAGTTTCACCTTCATATTCTGAATCCACATCTTCCTCTTCATCTTGGTTCCTTGTTTCTTGAAATCTTGTGCCTGAAAGACGATATTAAAATCAAAAACTGTAATTCTTGAAACAAACAATCATTCTAGCATCATAAAGATGCATGTTATGTAGCTTCAAAAGGAGGTTAAATGTTAATCAAATGAGCTCAATCCTCCAGACTACCTGATTGCGAAGGTTGTCGGTTTTATCAACAAGTAATTCAATCTTCTCTCCTCGATCAAGAACCTGAAAAGAACCGATATAATTCAAACAAAATGCAGAATAACCCTAAAATTATTCAGATCATGCATTTTCATAATTCTTGATATCATACATTTTCATCATTAGTATCATGATTATCATGTGTTTTTATGATGAATAACTTTCATCATGAATATCTATCATGACATTCATGGTGAATAAAGCATGAATAGTTGGTTCTCTTATTCACAAAATATTTACGGTTCTCGTTTAAGCCTGCCCCTTCCAACTAAGTATTACGCTCATGACTCATAAGCCAGGTTACCTTCTCAATGTTCTCCATCATCACTCCCTTTACTTCCGAAACCTGAGCCTTGACCTTAGCAATCTTGCTAATCTCTTCAGGATGAGAGATACAATAGCGCATATGCTCTTTCATTTTAGATCTGAAAATGGCCAAAAAGTTTCAGAAACATTCATGGAAAGATTATACACACACTTTATATGTATCTAAAGTCTGCATAAATTAGGTACCCGAACTCTCTGTTCAGGCTCTTGGCAGCAGCAGTTTTGCCTTTGCCTGTCCCATATCTTTTCATGAAATCATCCTTAACACGCTCCAAGAAGGCAATGGGAAGTTCCCTTCCAGCAGATTCAACTGCCACAACGCAGTAGGCTGCAGATCCCAATGGAAGTCTAATCAAAACTAAAGATCAGAGGCAAATGCATGATAGACTTAGTGTAACAGCAATCAAATGCAAAGCCAAATCAATATATCAGATTCACCATTAACGCCCAAAAGAATGGTGTACTTGTTAAATTGTATCATAAAAGTGTCATTTCCTTTTCAAAGTGCCACAATTAGAGATTTCAATCCATTAAATTTCCATCCATGTAAACGATCTAAACGTAGTGCTTGCTTTTAGACGAACATATTATGATGTTAAATATCATGAGACCAAGATGTAAGAAAATACGTCCCGTATCAATCATCATCAATCACAAAACAAATCCAAACAACACAGGTCAGACAAAAACAACATCAAACTCACTGTATCCTTGGTCAATGAGGTAATTGAAGGTGTGGCCATCGCAATTGTAAGTAAATCGATTGTTGGAGGCGGGAAGTTTCTGAAGACATTGTGTAGCGACGGATTGAAAATTGCCGGTGAACTCGGTGTACTCAGCAAGGACCACGGTGCCTCTAGCGACAAGGCTATAGATTAGAGATCCCTGTGAAGGCATTGTTAGGTTGGTGTGGATCAGTTACGGGGAGAGTGTGATCGGAAAATGAGGTAGAATTGGAATGAAGTTTGTTTGTGTGGAAGGACAGAGAAGAAGGCGTGAAAAAGGTTTGTGAGTGAGAAAATGTAGGAAGATGTAAGAGAACCTCATGCGAGTTCTTTTAATCTTGGTCATCATCCGAATAAATAGAAGCCATTTTACCTTCTTTTTTTCTTTTTCTTTTTGTCATTTTACAATTAAAAAAATAATGTGTATTTCCATTCAAATGTGAAATAGAAGTATAAAAAATCTTCAATAATGTTGTTTTTATCATAAAAACAACAATAAATATTAAAAATTAGTATAAAACTGTTTTCTGAGAATTCCTAGAATCAAAGTCAATCAATAATTATTTCTAAATTAATATTTTATATCTTTATCATTTTTACATAGCATCGTCAATTCATTCCACCATAAAAAAAAATCTAATGATATACCTTTAATACATAGATTGACAACATTTGAGGTCATAATGTTGATTATTCAAAGTAACACTTTATGTAAATTAATATGAATCGGTTGGGTTTCCATGTCACTTTATGTTAATGTTTTTCATCACCGTTTTTAATCTTTTAGGGTTAAACAAACTTTTTCAAAACCATCAATCTTAGAATCAAAAGCCCATGTTGATTATAGTTTTAGATTTTATTCTTGTTTTAGAGATAGACGAGTACTTAAGATTTATTCATTCAATATTAGGTAATAAGAAGATAAATAATGTATGAAACAATAAGACTATTTTTCAAATCTTGAATATAGATATAAGTTGGACCGTCTCACATGGATGATAAATTTTTTTTCAAAAGGTAAGAGTTTTTCTTAGTTATTATCAAGCAATCTCCAATATTCTAATACAAAAATAAAATTCATGAGGATGTAATAATCAAAGGAGTCGGTCCAAGCTTAATGATAGAGAAAGTATCAAGGTTTTTTAATCAATTAATTTTAAATTTCGGTATCAAATTAAAACCTTAGAGAAACAATAAACAATAATAAAAAATAAACGACCAATTAACTTTTTACATATTTTCTTCTCCAATGTAATTAACTAATACATGCATAGCCCTGTTAAATACAAAAAAAAAATTGTCTCTTTTATTCACTAAAAACTTTATTCAACACGAAAAAGAAAAAAAAACTACAACTTAACAAATACTTTGGATGACGTCAACATCGAAATTAAGAAGAATAAATAAAATTAACCAATAATTTGGTAATTTCAAACACTAAAATCAATTTTTAGAATTGTCACTTTGAACACAACCAACATTGAACTATGGTTTAATTTTTTTAGATTAAATTTATATCTTATAGAATTTTAATTAGTAACAATGTAATCTCATAGTAATATGGTTTTACTATAAAACTTCTTTTACGAAATTATTTTATTTACAGTTATAATGGAATGAGAGACAAAAATAGATCGATAAAAGCTTGATATAAGCCTAAAAACAAAATTGAATCCAAAGTTTTATCTTGAGAAGAAGGTTAAAGACCGATCCAAGCCTTCTAAACACCCGTTATGAGTTTTCTTTTTCTTGGACTGGTACAAGCCTTGACCCTTGTGGGTTGGGTTGGGTTAGGTTAGGTTATGTTATACTTTTCAATAAGTTGGGTTGAGGTTTTCCAAGCGACTATAATTAGATTGAGTTGTATAAATGTCGTAAACCATCCAACCCAACCGGCGTACACCCCTAGACAGTTAGGAACTGTGTTTAAGAGAAGATAAAGGGACCGGATAAACTCAAGAATAGTGTACAATAATTCGACCCTATTAGCCTTGGGTTCATGAATTTCTTAGTGAGATAATTCTTGAGTTTTTTCTCTCTCTCAAAGGCTGTGAAAATCGAGAGTTCTACCTAGATTATCGTTATACATATTTAAATGAGAGATCGACGATTAGTGGCGGTTTAACGGTTATAACTGTCAATGGATAAGGTCGAAGAGTAGTTACAACCAAATCCGAGTTCTAAAACATGCAGGTCCAAAGCTCTGGATATACTTGACCAGAGATAGGAGCCATCGGTGGATACACACGTTCAACGATAGGCAGAAGACACGTTCAGCATAGGCCGAAGATAAGTTCAACGATAGGCCATCTCTGGACACACATGTTCAGCGGCACTCCAGAGACCAAAACTATCTCTGGACCAGAGTTGAGACTTGTCAGATTTCGAAGTTTAAGAAATACAAGTCTGAACACTTAAGTCCGTAACTTTGTATGCATTGTTTTAGAGTTACAACATAGTAAAATTTCCAAGTCTTTAGAATTTAGATATGAAATTTTTCGTCTAGGGATCATCGCCAAGGGGCTCAGCCCCTTGAAACCCTGCTAGGGGGAGCGACCCCCTTGACCCCTCGCTTTATGGTGAACTAAGGTGATAGGAGCAACATTTGTAAGTTTGCACTTCGAACCTCCTAACTCATGTATGTCTACCTCATCGCCTTAATCGATCTTAAGTAAATCACAGTTACACCAAAATACTTGATGACACTAAAATCACCGACGGTCCTCCCCCATTTCTGTGTAATCCTTTGATTCTCTACAAAACATAAACATGTAAATTTCAAACAAATGCATAAATGAAAAATGTCACGAAGATTAAACTTTCGCCTTAGTATATTACACGTTCTAAATATTCGAGAATCGGGTTGTTCTAAGAATTGAACCCGTCAACACATTTGAATACATGAAGATAATATACACGTAAGTTTGTACAAATCTAGATGACACACTTGACATATTTGTATTCATGAATGTATAAAAGCCAAGTCAAAAACTTTCTTGAAGCGGCCACACTTCATGTCCACATAGGTGATTCTTTTATGTCTTGCACCTGCATATGCAATTTTTTTAAAAGAATCATCTAGAAGTAAATTTCAGCCTTATAACAGTTGCAGGTCTAAGCACATACCTTGAGATGTTATTATCATGCGCTTCAATTTCTATTAGTAAGCCTTTGACATTGAATTCAACCTTTAACATCTATACTATATTATAAAGCATTTGACAAAAACTCTTAAAAACCATTCTTTATACATAAAGTACTGTTAATTAATGCATGGTTTTTAAAATTTTAAGATTACAAGTAAATTGTGCGTAAGTACAACTTATTAAAGCTTCAAATTTGAATTTGTATAACTAACTACTGATAAATATAATCAAATACATGATAAACATCTTATTTTAAATATAAAAAATCTAAAATATAATTAGGATAACCATTGAGTTCTAACAAAATCATTATCTTTATAAAAATTATATTGTTAATCCAAAATAAATTACTTCGCTATTAAACATAAATTAAATTATAATAAAAAATAGAATTATCTATACTATATTATAAAACATTTGACAAAAATTCTTAAAAACCATTCTTTATGCATGAAGTACTGTTAATTAATACATAATACTTAAAATCTAAGATTACAAGTAAATTGTGCGTAAGTACAACTTATTAAAGCTTCAAATTTGAATTCGTATAACTAACTGCAGATAAATATAATTAAATACAGGATAAATTTTCCATTTTAAATATAAAAAATCTAAAATATAATTAGGATAACCATTGAGTTCTAACAAAATCATTATCTTTATAAAAATTATATTGTTAATCCAAAATAAATTACTTCGCTATTAAACMTAAATTAAATTATAATAAAAAATAKAATTAWARWAATWGTAYAAAAAACGAGAAMTTTTAWAAATTTAATTTGATATTAATATCAATATACTTTTTCAAAATTTTATGAAATCTTCAAATTTATTTTTATTTAAAAGTAAAAAAATCATATTTCTCAAAACCAAATAAAGCGTATTATTTCAATAGAGACAAAATAAGACGAAACATTAAAATGAATATGTATCTTGTTGCATTGTACAAGTACCCTTCTAGTAGTATTAAAGGGGAATTGGTAGCTTATTAATAAAAATCTATCGGGACTTTAAACCCATCCCGATCACGGACTTGTGCACTAAGTCCTTAGCTAACCCTTTGTCAAATGGTCGGCTAAATTATTGCGAGTTCTAACGAACTCTACGGATATCACCCCATGCATGATTAGTTGTCTAACCATGCTATGTCTTACTCCCAAGTGCCTCGACTTTTCATTATATACTTGGTTATATGCCTTAGCCAAGGTTGTCGCACTAACATAATGAATACAAATTGGTGATATCGGTTCGGCCACAAAGGAATCTAGTATATTAGATTCCTTAGCCGCTCCACCTCTTTACTGGCGGCCACCAACGCCACAAATTCTGATTTCATGGTGGAGTTTGTGATGCAAGTTTGTTTCTTTGAGGCCCAAGATATGGCACCTCCTCTAAGTAAAACGCGATGGGATTTATAAGCAACTAAACGCAGCGAAAACTCAATTTCAATGAAAAATTAACATAAAATAGTTGCTTTATGGTGAAAAGATTCAAAATACGAAATCCCAAAGTAGGATACAAAACGACATAAAATAATAAGTAAAGGTCGAATCTTTTACCTCAAGGAAGATCCAATCTCGTGGTTGATGTGGAAGCTCTTGGAATCAAAATACACTCCACTCTATCAAGCCTAACACCTTGAATCCTCCAAGCCTTCAAGGTTGCTAGCCCGAAAACCCTGAAAAACTACAAACCATACGTGTATCTTTCAACACACAAAGATCAAACTTTGTTCTTTGTGTTTGTGACTTTCTGGATGAATTTTGGTGATGGGGAAGGCCAAAATTTCATGGCTTTTGGGAGGTGTATCAAGTGTGAGGAGCAAGGTAAAGCATCACCATTTATTAGTGATTTAATTTCTTAAATAGAATAAGAAAACTACACCAAACCCTAATACTCATGGGCTTAAGGTTTTTTATGCCTTTTTAATTAATATCCCTTGATTAATTAAAGACCCGTAACTCCTTAATTATATTATTAGTCCCACTAATAATAATCCACGAGCCAATTTTATTAACTTAATAAAATTGTTTAATTGCAAGTCTATACGTATTTATTATTGTATTCATACAACAATATGACTATTATAAACATATAATAATCAATTATTACAAACGTATAATAATTTATTTCGGGTTTTTCCATATTCATGTTGAGGCATACAGATTCTAGCGTGTGACCCAATGGGATCACGTGATCTCAGCAGTGTTGTTCTGACGCGAGCAAGAATCCTACAAAATGATCATCCACCAGTAGAAAAATGGTCTTCTGCATTGGATATCCAACTGGCATCCGTGTAGCCTTCAATCATCGAAGGAAACCCGATATAAGTTATACCATAATTCATGGTTCCCTTCAAATATTTGAACACCCTTCTTACCGCTTGCTAAGGTGAGCGTTAGGTCTATCTGTAAACCTACTCAAATTTCCAACGACATAGGCAAAATCCGATTGTGTGCTTGTCATGGCGTACAACAAGCACCCGATTACCTTGGAGTATTCTACTTGTGATACAACATCAACCTCGTTGGACATAAGCTTCTCATTTAGATCCATTTGTAGTACTCACGTGTGAACAATATAACATACTAAATTTTATTTTTTATTTTTTAATTGTTTAAAACAAAACAATAAAAAAAATTGCATCAAAACGAAACAAATTTTACGTTAATCCTATTATAGTAAAACAACTTTCAAAGTTTTCATTTTAGGATTTACGATAAAACTTAACAGATAATTTAGGGATTTGATGAAGGTAGGAAACCTACGATTCAATGACTAAGGTACGGTTGACGGATACATGTCTACGTACCCTAAAATCACATGAATACATATAATTAATTTATTTAATATAAATTTATTTAACTACAATAACATTTTTTTCACGTGATTAATGGATAGAAAGGGGACATAAGATTTGATGAGACAAGATTTTTATTCATTAGTTGTAACCAATTTAGGCCGAAGCTCGATGCCTTCCACAACAAGACCGTTCTTCCAGTTTCCGTGCCTGATCTCCTCAAATACCATCTCAACTTCACCATTACGTTTTTCATCGCAGTAGAATTCCCCCAATTCGACCTCCATCCACCCATCCTCTCTCCTACGTGGGAACCCATCGCTGTTTCCAAGAGGAGCATGCCAAATTCTACCTCGAGCCCCTGGTTTTTGAAGAAAAACACCTGTTGTCGCGGTCTCTATCCCGCCAAAACTTACAATTGTTGTCGCTGGAACCACGAGTCCCCTAGAATCCCTAGCAATTCGAAAGACAAGATACGCTACGTATGTCGTGTTTTGTGAAAGCATTACAGCTGCTATTTTGCCTCTAATTTCAAGCCAACATACTTTTCTAAGGATGCACACCTCTGGAAACCTGCAAATATGGTAACATATATTATATGGATGGTTTAGACCTTAAATCATACACATATATATATATATATATATATATATATATATATATATATAGGGGAGCGATCAAATGTAAACCATTCAATTTGTACAAACCGTGCAAACCGCATTCAACCAATCATAATTTTTTATTTTGTTCATTTTTTTGTAATTATGAGAGATTGATTAATCATTTTTATTGTGGAGTGTGTTAATCATAGATATTATCATCTTCATTATTTTAATTTTAGAGAAATACATGAAACAGTTTCATTAATGTTAGAGAAATACATG